GGCAAAATCAATTTGATGAATTGATTCAACAAACTGAACGTATCATTAGAAAATATTTAACTAAAAGATGTGGTTTATGGAGGATGTTAGATATACGTTATGATATTATGGCAAATCTAATTCGCGGTAATTGTACATATATTATTAGAAATATTTTATTTTCCATATCTGATAGAAAAAATAATTATTTACATATTCCAAGATGTAATTCTTGGGGTGGTCAACTCGTGAAAGATACTGATCTTGAAATCTCTATCACATGTACAAAAGGAGGTTATCGTAAAGATACGATTATAGTTAAATATTTATTAGATTATTATTCTAATAATGCTTTAGATTCTTCAAATTGGATGTTTACCGTTGCTAAAGCAATTCCGATCCTTTATGAATATAATTTAGAATTTTACGTTGAAGAACTATTTCAAAAACGTTGTTTTGGTGCCAGTGAAGTTTACTTGGATCAATCTAAAATTCGTGATAAAGACATGGATAGAAGTAACCAGAAAGATGTTCATGCGTTAAACGTAAATTTGGGTCTCACCAAGAAAAGAAAAGAGCGTAATTTCTTACAAAGATCAATCGTTAAAGGAAAACAAAGGTAGAAATTAATATATTAATAATTAACGAGATTAAATGTTGCACAGACCATAAACGAAAATAATTAATTTTTTTTCCTATCATTTTTTTAGTGGAGAGAAAATTATTTCAGATTTAGTAAGCAAAACAACTTCTGCCCCTAGTTCTTCACTTATTAATCAGGTTTACATGGTACCCCTTCCCGATTTTACCGTATATCCTGAGAAATTTGAAGATAAACGAGTAGAATATTGGAAGATTCCTTTCAAATTTTTAAAGTTGTTATTTTGGCCACGTGGTCATGTGCTTAAAAAAAAGCATCAGATGAGTCCATTCTTGAGAATGATAAGAGCAGACAATGGCGCAGAAATTTATGATAATCCATCAATGGCCGCAGTAATTGACTTTAAATGGAAAGCGGCAAGAAATCATTTCTTAAGACATGCACTTATATACGTTGTATTTGCATTTTTTTTTGCAATCACAGGTGGTGCTATTAGAGGAATAAGTGTTGTTAGTAATTTGGGAGTTAAAATAATGTTCGCTTTATTTTATTGGTTGGGATTTTATTTATTAAATACCGAAAGAATTCAATTAAAATTTGAGGGATGGAGAAGATATTTTAGCCTTTATAATTTTTTTGACTTGTTTTCAGTCATTTTTCCATTAGTAATAAATAGTTTAAATCTATACTTTGGTACTAAATTCCCAAATCCAGATGAACCACCAGAAATATTTCAAGAGCAAATTGTACAATTTACAAGAGACTATCGATTATTTATTATTCTTAATTCATTTGCAGTTTTAGTAATGTGGTTGGAACTTTTTTTGGTAAGTTTTTGAATGATATTTATATATACATAACGTTTGAATATTTGATACTAACTTTATTTTTAATAAAAATAGTTGTTACGATATTTTGAAAGATCTGGAGCTTACATTTATATTTTAGTTAATATCTTTAAACAAATTATACCTTTCTTGATTTTTATTCTAGTGGTTGTCCTCGGATTTGGTCATGCTATGTGAGTGAAGGTTTTAAAAAAAAATTCCAAAAAAGTAACGTTGACGATCGATATTTTTACTAAAATTTCGTAATAAAATTTAATTTATTTTTAATAGGTTCGTTTTACTTAATAATACTAAAATCATAGACATTAAACCTGATGGTTCCTCTTTTACAATCACACCTACTGATTCTGATTCAAATCAACCATTACCATATAATGTGGAACAATTTATTGATGTGGATAGTAAATCAGATAATTTTTACTCAAATTTTATTAAATCTGTTGAATCAGTTTTCTTTTGGACTGGCGGTCGTTGGGATCAATTGGAACAATGGGATTTTTGGCCAGTAGATGTTTATTCTATTATTGGTAGTATCCTTCTCGTTACAATTTTGCAGAATATGTTGATTGCGATCATGACGTAAGTTTTAATATATATAAAAAAAAAAAAAATGTTTTTTTTATATTGATCATAGTTCAAATAAACTTATATATAATATTTAATTTGTAGTGGTGCATATGAAAATGCACAAGAAATTGGTAGACATGCAGTATTAGAATATCGAGCGGAATTGATCGAAGATTATGAAACGGTCGAAAAACCTCTTGGAAGTAAAAGAGGAAATCCTCGATATATTTATTATATCGGAAAATCAGATTATATTGAAGAATGGTTAAGAAAATCTGAGAAAGCAAGAAAAAATAAGGAGAATTTCTTATCAAAAGTTGATGACAAAAATCCTTGGGATGATGATGATGATGATGATGACGACGACGACGATGATAATGAAGGGGGAGGATATCATTATCAAGATCTTTCTACTGAGACTGATTCTATTACATCACCAAGAAAAGAACAAGAAATTCCATTATCATTATATTGGTTTGTTGATGAAAATGATAATAAGGAGAAATTATCAAAATCAAAATCTTCAAACATTTCATCTAAATCAACTAATATTATTCAAAATGATGATGATGGTGATGGTGATGAAACTAGATTATTGAAAGAAAAAATTACATCCATGAAAAAAGAATTTTCTGGAAAATTGAATTCTATGGAAGAAACTATCAAAAATTTAATCACTATAATACAAAATCAAAAATAATTTAAATTTTTTTTTAAAAAAATTACCTGATAAATTTATTTAGTTTTTTTTTAAAAAAAAAAGTTAATATTTTTTGAACATTTTTGAGCGTTTTTTATTTTTTATTATTTTTGTAATATATATTATTTATATGTATACGTTATGTAATTTTTAAGTTCGGTTATTAAAGACTTTTATTGGCATTATAAAAAATATAAAATTTCACTTATTACCAATTGACACTATAAAAAAATATAAAAATCGGTTTTAAAAGTTAAAAATGGCTTTTGAATGTCATATACACAATAAAATATTAAAAAAAAATTTAAAGTACAATAAATTGCTTGCGATTGCTGCGTCATCAACTACGCGAGAATTTAAGTGATACAAAAAAGTCAATAAAAAAAATAAAACAATGGAGAAAACGATCACCAAAAAACAAAGTTTTATTGCATTAATGTAATGTTTTGTGGGTTAAAATGAATCATTTGTTTATTATTTAGTAAAAACCCATAGGGGTGAACTGATATGTTACTGTTATCACTGGTTTTGACGATTGGTGAGGTAGATAAATCGGAATATATCTGTATAAATAATGAACAATTGGTAATAAAGCGTATACGATGTATAACGAAAGGTCAATAAACGATAATAAATAATGCGGTAAAATGAGATGGATTTAATACGCGAAATCTAAAACAATTCGGCAGGGTTATTTATACTTTAATAAAATACAATATTACTGCCTCTTTCGACGCACTGTAATATTCGTATATTTATCTCTTTATAAAATAAAACCAACACACACTTTCAAACCCTCCACAAATCGGTCCTGTATACATCGTTCAAAATTCGGTACCAATTCGCCTATCGAACATATTCGTCATCCGACCAATTTTACCCTCCGGCCAAATTCGCTAATCAGACGATTTTGTCCAGTTAAGCCACTTCTATCTTTAGCCACCCACCTATATGTATAATTCTTTATTCTATGTCTGACGAATAAGTTTTGTACGAGAATTGTGTATCGTTGTATTATTAGGTCTTCCACGCCTAAATGACACCAACCTAGATAATAGGTGAAGTATTAGAATCTGTTTTTAATAAAAAATGGGCTGAAAAAATTACTCAAGTTAAACAAAGAGATGATGCTGATATAGAGAGTGGTAAGTTATCACTTTTTATATTAGAACACTTGAAAAAACAAAGCCGAATTTTAGTGCTATTATGTAATGAGTACTATTAATATTTAGTTTGAGATACTTTTTGATTTATTTATTTATAATAATATATCACTAACTTATTATTTTCTTATTACTTGATACATTAGAATAATAATCTAATAATGGATATAAGTAATAGATGAGAAAGCAAGAAAGGTTATTATTTACTAAAGAAAAATCGGACTTAATCTCCCTACGCAACAAAAGAATTATATTTAAAGACCAAATGACAACGCTAGACAGAAGCTTCTTAGAAACTTGGCCAGAAATCAAAAACAAGCTTAACAACAAGTTTAAAGGTCGCACTCCTCAATGGTTCAAAAAACTCGAAGCTGACGGTATCCTCACAGACTTTAACAGACGCTTAATAAACCCGTTGTCGACGCCAAGAAACGCATGAAACTATTAAACAGTACAACAATATGTTTTATTGGCAACAAACACACCATTGATTTACTAATCTCACTCGCACATTTAATTGTGAACGAACAAAATATCCCAATTTTGGGAGTCAGTAAAGATTTTGACAGTGCTGTTGGTTGGGCAGATAAGTAGCGGTGAGAATTGCGAAACCTTCTGCTTTGATTGAAGAAAGTTTAAGAGTGGTATTGACATGAAACGCTAGTGGTGTGGAATTTGCTATCTTTCAATATATTGAAGAAATATAGCTGTTTGTTTTTCTACTTTTGCTGGACTTTTGGATGAACCAGTCAAAAAAATTTAACCCATGTTGGTAGTAAACGGAGGGACATTAACACTTTTTATAGCGTTAACAACGCGATCACTTCAGACCGAAAATCTTAAAAATTAGATACTTAATCGAAAACAATCAGCTCAAAGTGAATCTTTACAAAGCAAAAGCCCATTCAAACGTTCTCTACAACGATCTCGCGGATACTGAAGCAAAAAAAAGGCCTCGACGGCATGGTGTATAAACATGTCATGAAGTTTGGTATTGCGGGTAAAAGAATTAAAGGTGGCGCATCTGTGATGTTTTTTTGTAAATTTTCTGATGTCTGTCGATGGTGAAATAGTGGCATTTGGTACGAATTTGGGATTGATGTATTTTCCGATGTAATCTTTGATTATCTGTCCATCGAGTTTCAATTGTGATTGTTATTGTAATTGTTATTGTAATTATTGTAATTGGAATTGGAATTATTATAATTATAATTGTAAGTACTATAATTGTAATTGTGAACAATAAAATTTGTACGAGCTCGCCTACTAATGGGAGTTTTCCGAATTCCAAATTCTTTCATAATTCGTTCTTCACGTTCTTTTTCCTCGGCAAGTATCATGTCAACTTCTGTAACTTCAGCCTTACTATTTAAAGCAGCAGTAACTTCGGCTATCATATTAGATATTTTACAATTAATTCTTTTATAGATAATATCTTCATCATCATCGACATTACTATCAGAATGAGTATCCGTAAGTTCTTTAAGGATAATATTTTCATCATCATCGACATTATTATCGTAATGAGTATTCGTATTATTAACATTATTACTCATATGTTCAACAGATGATGATTTGCGACGTATAAATCTACGACCACGACGAACACGGAATTGTCTTCGTCGTGAAGTTGAATTTGTTGGTGAATGGGTTGGTGTAATTTTTTGAGAAGTTTGAATAGTTGGATGATCTTGTCGTGAAATTATAAGTGAAGGTCTAGTTTCAGTTTGAGTAGTTGGATAATCTTTTTGTTGTGAAGGTGGTGTAGAAATTGCAAGTGAAGGTTTAGTTTCAGTTGTGGTTGTATTAGTAGTTGCAAATGTTGTTGTTGTTGTTGTTGTTGATGGCTTTAAATAAAGTAAAAGTGTTAATATTTATTATTTAGTTACGAACGATACTAAAAATGAAACAACAATAATAAAGAACATACCATAGACCAAGAATTATCGTAAGGTGGAGGAAGTTCTTCATCTTCAACAGTTTCTACATTTTCACCCCAAGTAGAAACTGAATGACTTCCGGTTAATATATTATTAGCATCAGTGACAAAAGCGTAAGTAAAGGTACCAAGTTCTACAACTTTATATATAAAGTTTGCGACAACTCCAGGACGACATATTTTAGAAATTTCTTCTTGTTGTTGTTGATATTTTTTAAAAAACATTTTGGTATATAGTAATATATATTGGAAGAAATTTAGAGTAAAGAACAACAAAAAGAATAAAAAAATCGATTTTTGTCCGGTTAAAATATTAATGGCATCAGTGACAAAAGCGTAAGTAAAGGTACCAAGTTCTACAACTTTATATATAAAGTTTGCGACAACTCCAGGACGATGTATTTTAGAAATTTCTTCTTTTTGTTGTTGTTGAAAATTTTGTATTGAAGTTGATTGCATTTTGTGTGATATTTTTTAAAAAAAATTTTGGTATATAAAAATATATATTGAAAGAAATGTAGAGTAAAGAAAATCGATTTTTGTTGCTTCGGTGCGAGGTATTTATTATATATTCGAGAGTAACGGGTATTGGTAAAGAAAAATTTTAATTTTTTTTTTTTGCGTATTTTTAAAATTCATGTATGTATGTATGTGTATATATATATAATTTTTTTTATACATGTATAGGATGACTCAAAGGATTACTCAATATTTTTAAGTTGATACGATGATAAATTTCACGATAAAACCAAACAATTATCACACGCACAGAAATTTGAATTTACGTAAACATCCAACACCTGACGAAAAAAAAAATCGGAACTGTAATATGAGTAATAATAATAATAATTAATTTGTAATTAGATAATTAAATAATATTTATTTGCATAATGTGATATAAAGGATATATTGTATTAAAAAAAAAAAAAAAGTTCATATAAACATTATGTATTACGACAAACACTTGTTTTTTTTCTTATTTTTTTAAGAAACTCCATAAGCCTGCTTTAACTGAAGTGAGTACCATAACTGAATTTACTACGCAACCTTCTACGAGTTCCATGTTGAAAAAGTATAACTTTTGGAGTAACTTGTTGATTAAAAAAATGATGTGCGTGAAAATTAATGGCGAAGCGCGAAATAGGTTGAACCTCGTGATTTATGACTCATTATTCTTCCAATAATCTAATAATCTAAATCTAGGATAAACCCAAAAAAAAAATATACATTTGATATAATATACATATAAGTAATATATAATATAATATAAATGTATTAACTAATTATAATGATGGTTACGATAATCAATTTTAGGAAAACAATTGTAACCTAGAAATACATTGTTTCAATTACTCTAGTTATATAATATTAAAGAATTACATCGTACATAATTTTATTTGAAGATACTATAAGATTAGTTGTCCATTAGATATAATGCATTAGAGACAATTATATAAGTATGACTAATAATTAATAAATAATAATCAGTAGTCAAAAAGAAGATCTAATAGATCAAATTTTATTGTTAATATTGTGTTATTATTAATATTCAAATTCTATCTTTGAAGGTATGGAGAGTCAATAAAAGAAATGAACAGATTACTCAGTGAAACGATCAAATATTTGAACAAAATGAAGCAAATATACCTCAATAACAATATATCAGTATGGTATAATGGATAGATATAAAAAAATTTTTTGGGATTTTTTTTTTTAATAACAATACTAGATTGGTATAGTACAATAGTTACTAGCATAAAAGAAAGAAATTTGCTCGAAAAAAACCTCATCATTTGATCGGGAATGTCGATCATTTTTGGATCTTATTTCGGAAAACCTTTCAGTCACGCGTTCTTCATTGTAACATTAATCTTCAATAGATCAAGTTTAGGTAGATTTTATGACAAAACTTTAATATTACAATCTATTATATAAATTAGGTATTTTTAAAATATTATCTTTTTTTGGAATATATAAATTATAACTTTAGTTAATTACTAGCAATCACTCGTTGCTTTCGCACGGGACCAATGAGCTTGTTTAAATAGAAAAATTTAGTATTATAATGTAATACTAAGTAAATTAAGGATACTTTGCAGAAACCTATTGATTTTGAAAAATATGGTAAAAATATTTTTAAAATATGATTGACATATTGCGTATACATTTCTGTTAACTCTGTTGTAACTCGATAACGGCAATATATTGAACATATGTTAAAAAACACATGATTAAAATATGTTTAAAATATGTTTACTATATATCAAAAATATGTCAAAATTTATGAAAAAAATGTGATATTTATATTTTTATTATATATCAAAAATATCATTATAATATATTGCAAGTAATACAATTTATTATATATTAAAAATACACTAAAATATTACAATTATACATTTTACATTGAAATTATAATAAAAACAAAACTATTATAATGCCTTCACTGCACAATTTTTGTTACATTCTTGATTTGGATCATTGTGATTTATTCGCAAGGAAATTTCCAAGTCAAATCATGTGACCTTTCTGTACGACCCTCTCAATGATAAGGAAACAAAATTATTACTGTACTTTTTTGTATGTTCGCCATTCTCACATCTTATCTCCCTTTTGCAACTCTCCTGGTCACTTCCTTTCCATCTCATTTGGAGGTCACACTTATTCTTTTGCGATTTTCTTCAGACTGTTAAATACTTTAAGTTGCGGGTAGGATAATAAATAGTAGTAGTAATTAGTCTAGATTTCTTGTATGATATTTTGCAATACACTGTAGGTTATTTTTATTAGTATATTTGCTTGTTTGTGGACGTGTAAATTTTCAATAAGTAATTTTATTTCTATTTATACAATACAAGATGCTTGATCATTTAAAAAAAAAGTAAAGTCAAAACATTAGTAAGAAATTCGTTAAAGAAATAAAACCAAAGGAACTTCCAATACTTACCAAAATCTACAAATCCAAGGTTCCATTGCCTAAAAATGAAATAAATAAAATTGAAATTTTAATAAAATGCTCAATAAAGAAAATTTTTTAAAAAAAATTCTGAAGATTCTTACCATAAATTAAGTGTATGCACAACTGTTTAAAAAAAAGAAATAAATAAACTGTTAGTAAAGTTTGCTAAAAATAAAAAAAATTTAATAAAAAATTTTGAGACTAACCAAAATCCTGAGCTAAGAAACTAAAGAGCTGCTAAAAAAGAAAAAATCAAAATGTTACAAATGACAGTTCGTCAAAGAGGTCCTGCACATCTCTCTTATACACATCT